TACATATTCTTTATTACATTCAATAAGTGTCACGGTATTCCTAAACCACAGAGAGCTTTTATGAGAAGTGTTGAATTTAATCAAAAACTCTTTTGGCATCTACCAAGAAAACTGTGTGATTCTTCTCCTTAAGTCTATTTAAATGTAATTTGCTACATTGCATCCTGGAATGATGTTAATAATAACAGCCAACTAATATGCAGAATTTACTATATACTGGGGTTGTCCTAAGCACTTTTTGTATTTACTTCTTTTAACTCCTGACAACTGCATAAGATAGGTGTATAGTAGTGTACATATTTAAAAAAATGAGACAGAGGAGTTAGGTATCTTACCCAAAATCAAACAGGTCAAACTAGATTTGAGCCTTACAGTCTTGTTCTTGAATCTGTGCTATTAACCACAAAGTTAGTCTTTGTCTGTCATGGTCTTCTATTCTTTTACTACTCTCCTGGAACCGATAGGATTATTGAGATTTTGCATCAGTCACAAAAAAGAAATGCTAATATTTAAATTATGTTCTTTAGCCTCATGTAGTTTGGAATCCAAGTAGTTTCATTAGAATAAAATTCAGAATCTTTACACATTTTTCTTTGCTCTAATATAGTTTAAGTGATCTGTCTCTTGTAAGTTGGATAGAATTTGCCTGTAAAAACTATCAAGGATTGGCACCTTTTTTTGTGCAGAGGGAAGTAAATTTTTGATAAACTTTTTCACTTCCTTCTACAGAGTATACATATTCAGTATTTCTATCTGCATTTCAGTTAAGGGTCATTTGAGAATAGCAGAAACTATTATAGCCAATTTAAGCATAAAAGGGTTGACTAGGGGGAGTTAATGCTCACAAAATTATAGAAAGTGCTAGAGGGGTGGGCTCTGGATGGAGCTTTCAGGAGCAATTCCCAGATGCTGTAGAACTGCCCACCTCAAGGGAGCTGCTATCATGACCAGAGGACTGGCATCAAGAGGCCAAAGCCAGCCCCAGTGCAGGGTTCAGGTCCACACTGCTTAGTCAGGAGCCTTGCCACCAATTGGATGCTCTGTGCCTTTCCTCTTGACACCCATGTAGCTATAAGCTGCTTTGAACTTTTTCTTTTGAAATAATTTTAGATTTACAGAAAAATTGCAAAGATGTTATAGAAAGTTCCCATGTACCCTTCATTTAGCCTCCCCGAATAATGACATCTAACATTTGTTAAAAGTGAAAAAAAAAACTAACATTGATGCAAAATTATTAACCACAGATTTTATTCTGATTCTACCAGATTTCTCATTGTCTCTATTCCAGCATCCAATCCAGGATCCCACGTTGTGTTTAACAACTTTTTTTTTATGAAATCATTAATGCCCTTATATGTCCTTTTGAATATATTTTGGCCAAATTCCACAGGTTTTAATGGGTTTGGTCTCATTTTTACATTCTTTTCCTAAGTAGTCTGAATTTTTTATTTTGATTTCCACCCTGATCTGAGTGGCTCAGAAAGTCAAAAATGTTAATTATCCATACAACTCAATTTCAATTTTAGACATCTTTTCGTTTCCATTCTCTTTTTATTGCATTGTGGTCAGAAAAGCAGGCATGTACTTTTTCATTTCTTCCACATTTTTTAAAAATTAAAAAGAGACAGAGAATAATGTAATTTTAATTTTTTTGAGGGACTGCCATGGTGTTTTCCATAGCGATTACATCACCTTACTTCCCACCAAGAGTGTATAAGGGTTCCTTTTTCTCCACATCCTCACCAACACTTGTGTTTTTATGGTTTTTTAAAACAATAACCATTGTGGTTTGGGTTTACATTTCCAGCATTAACTTTTATAGGAGCATTTTTTTAAGATTTTATTTATTTATTTGACAGAGAAAGGGAGAGAGAACACAAGCAGGGGGAGTGGCAGGCAGTGGGAGGGAGAGAAGCAGGCTCCTCGTTGAGCAGGGAACCCAACGTGGGACTTCTCCCAGGACCAGGATCATGACCTGAACCAAAGGCAGATGTTTAACTGACTGAGCCACTCAGGTGCCCCTATAGGATTATTTTAATAGGTTGACAGTATAGAATTTGGAACAAAATTGATTCTGTTATCTGTTGCCCATCACATAACCCTATATGGTGAAAAGGTTGACAATGTTTGACAAGAGACCAGCGATCCATTTGAGGTGGGATGTGAAAATACAGGAGCCGTAACTTCAGCACCTGGGCGTTGAGTCACACAGACCTAGTCTCCTGCCACATCCTGGCTGTGTAACCGAGCAAGCTGCCTCTTCATCGAGCCTTACCTCCCTCATCTATAAAACGGGGACATTGATATTTCAGTAGGATGCGAGAGGCTTCAGTGAAAGAATTTATGGCATCTAGTGCAGTACCTGGCATTTGGTAATCCTCAGTAAATGGTAGCTATTATGAGGATTAGGAGTTTTGTTCTAGGGTGTTCCAAGTCTTCCCCCTCCCCATCCAAAAGCCCCACTGCATTGCCTGATGAGACCCAGGAGAGTTGTCACTATTCTTTCTCTGCTGGTGCCTGATGGGCAGGCCCAGGGAGGCTTATCTGGGCTTGGCCCATGGCTGAGGACAGCAGTGTGGGGAGATTACAGAGGTTAGAGACTGGTACTGCCAGATGGGCAGGTTCAAAACCTGCAGAATCACACTTTGGGTGGGTTAACATAACCCAAAGTGTCAAGAAAGTGTTCCAGGAAGTAGAGGGCCAGGATGCCTGCCTTGCACACCCAGCATGGGCCCGATCATTCTGACTTCACTGGTCTCATCTTGTGCAAGTAGATGTCCAAGTCCCTGCAAGGCCCTCAAAGCCCATGGGTCAGCTCCCCACTTGTCTTTCTGGCCTCCAAAGGTATAGGGGGGAAGACATGACCCTGGCAATTTCTTGGCTCTCAACCCATTAGGCATGGGCAACCAACTCAAGCCCTGGGCCAAAGAAGCCCAATTTCAGGCCATTTGCTGGCCATGGGTGGAAAGAGAAGCTCTGATGTCCTGCTGCGTTTGGAGCTTAGGAGAATTAAGTCTGAGATTCAGAAGCACAGAATGGAAAGTGGACTCAGTGCAGAGCCGAGCAGAGCAAAATGAGAAGGGGACATAGAACTCTACTGGTTCCAAGTGATAAGACACTTGAGCAAAAAGGGTGTTTATTGATTTAGGGGCCTGAAAAGCCCAGAGTAGCTGTCCCACCCTGCCTGTCCCAACCCCCAGCACCCAGCAGTGCTGTCAGTGTGGCTGGTCACCCTCTACCTCTACCCCATCTCTGGTACCATCATTTGGCCGTGCTCATGCACTCACCCCCTGTTAATTCCCAAGCATCTTCTTACATGCAGCCCCCCTTTCCTGCCCTCCTGCCCCTTCTAAGACCAGAGGGTGTGTGTGTGTGAGACCCTCCAGTTCTGTGTTAACAATTCAAGGAGAGGATCCCTGGGTGGCGCAGTGGTTTGGCGCCTGCCTTTGGCCCAGGGCGCGATCCTGGAGATCCGGGATCGAATCCCACGTCAGGCTCCCGGTGCATGGAGCTTGCTTCTCCCTCTGCCTATGTCTCTGCCTCTCTCTCTCTCTCTCTTTGTGACTATCATAAATAAATAAAAATTAAAAAAAAACAATTCAAGGAGAGCTAAAGAATGGTGCAGAAAAGGTCTAAACATTACTTACTGTTACTTAATTAAAAAAAAAAAATCCAGGGATCCCTGGGTGGCGCAGCGGTTTAGCGCCTGCCTTTGGCCCAGGGCGCGATCCTGGAGACCCGGGATCGAATCCCACATCAGGCATCCCGGTGCATGGAGCCTGCTTCTCCCTCTGCCTGTGTCTCTGCCTCTCTCTCTCTCTCTCACTGTGTGCCTATCATAAATAAATAAAATAAAAAAAATTAAAAAAAATCCTCCCGATATTTAGTTCTTTAAAATCTGAACTTTTTACTTACTTTCTCATAGAGACTGGCAATTACTTTAGGGTCTAACAACAAAAGACATGTCTCTGGAATTTAGACAATATTCCCTTAAAGACATGTACACACACACACACACACACACACACACACACACACTCCTACCCTTTCTGGAGCACACAGCTCAGGCATCATGTCTAGGAAACCGTCTCTTGTCCTCCTCTCCCCCTGCACAGGGCTCTGTCCAGCTTGGTTCTTGGACGTGGCCAGGGCTGATTTTCAGAAGCACCAAGGACAGCGGCCGTCCCAGCAGGCTGCACAGAGACCCCCCCCCCCCAAAGCCCTGGGGGCTCTGTTTCCTCTGAAAACTTATCCCTAAGACATACTCCTTGACAAAGTGTTCTGGGAAATGGTGCCTCCTCATCTCCCCGGAGACCACATCAGCGGATTGAAGACCCAAGACAGTCCGGGAAGAGGGGGCACCGCTGACGGTCGGCAGGAGGCGCGCTCGGCGCCGCGTCGGTCACCGGCTCTGGGCCTCCAGGCTGGGCGCAAAAACCCTGGAGACCTCTGGGGCTGCCCAGGAGCTGGGAGGCAAGACCATGTAAAACAAACAAGGGTCGTGGAAGGGGAGGTGGGTGTGGGGGTGGTAACTGGGTGCCTGGCACTGAGGAGGACACTTGATGGGATGAGCACTGGGTGTTATACTCTTATGTTGGCAAATTGAATTTAAATTTTAAAAATGTAAAAAAAAAAAAAAAGATTATCTTAAAAAAAATGACATAAAGGAGACGCTGCAGGAGGGATCTCAGGCTTCGCGTTCGCCTGAGAGCAATGACACAGTGTTTGTTATATAGGAGATGCTGGGACACATTTTTATTGCAAAGGAGACATTTTTATTCCAACCAATGGTGATCGATACAGTCCTGCTGAACTCAAACGGAGCAGGATTTTGGACAGGAGCAGCTGTGTGACCCTTGGCAAGTTATTTATATCCTCTCCAGGCCTCAGCTTGCCTATCAGGAGAGATGGCATTTAAGTGTCCTTTGAGCTGCTGACAACTGATTTTGACCCCACCTGATGGTTCCAGAGCCAGAAGGTCTCTGAGAAGTCAGTCCTACCTGTCACAGGGACAGTGGCCGGCATGTGGCTGGTCCTCCAGAAATGTCCACTGAACTGATACCAGGTTGGAGCCGGTTACATGTTCTCAGTTCTGTTACCAAATTTTCTCAGGAGCTCTAGGGAATAATTAGGAAAATAATAATTAGGGAATAATTGGGGAAAAAATACTTAATTTTTTTCATTAATTTTCTGGGGAAAAATTGCATTTCGAATTGTCAACAGTCACCTTTTACAAATGCATTTTTAGCTCACATTCTTTCGAGTGCTTCTTATGTGCTAGACATTATTGTGCCAATGGCTTGAGATGCATGACTACCCTGAATTGCATTCACTTCTCCCAACAACACGACCATGCAGGAATTATGAATCCCCATGTGATGGATGAGGAATCTGAAGTGCAGTGAGATTAACTAATCTATCTGGAGCTACACAGGTCGTGGAGACCAAACTCATACCTGAGAGTCTTCGTTTGCAAGCATTACTGCCCCATCAAGCTAGCACTTGAGAACAGACCCCATTTCTGTTTTGACATTGGCTGGGCAGCATGCATGTAGCCAGACATATTTCTGCTCTAGGAGAACAAAAACCTATGAAAGAATAGTTCTGTGCCCTTGTTGGTCTCTGGAGAGGAAAAGGCCATCCTATACCCTTCTGGTCCACTAATCATTGACTCAACAAGTGGTCACTGATGTCCAGGTACTATTTGCTGGGAGCAAATGGTAGGGAATAATACAGAAAAAATTCCTGCCCCCAGGGGTTTACATTCTAGCAGGAGGAAAACAGAAGCCAACAATAAACTAATAAGTATATTAAATTGTATATTAGAAGGAGAAAGAGCTATGGAGAGAAAATAGAGCAAAATGAAGAGGGTCTGAAATGTAGGGTGGAGGGTTGATTTAAAATAGGCCTCGCTACAATGATGAAATGGGAAAAAGAGGGATCCGTCCATGTGGATGGATGTGAGTGGTGCAGCTTTCTGAATGAGCGACACAGGTATAGTCAGTGCAAAGGCCCTGGGGTGTGCATGTGTCTGGTATGATTGGGGATGGGCAAGGACAGCAGGGAGGCTGGCGGAGGAATGAGAGGGGCTCATGGAGGTGGTCAGAAATGGCCAGATTCTGGATCTGTAACTGGAAGGCTGAACCAAGGGAACTGCTGATGTTTGAAGGTGTGTTGTGACAGAGAGGAGGAGTTAGGGATGACCCAAAGGTTTTTGGCCTGAGCAACCGGAACAGTAAAGAATCTAGGAAAAGGCTGTAGCATTAAGAAGAGGCCAGCTGCTCTGTTTCCCCACAGCTTCTCGGCCTGAGTGACATGCCTGTGTCACCGTGCGGGAGACAAAGAATCAAGGCAGTCTGGCGGAATTAGTTTATGAGGTCCCAGGATCGGAAAGGAAGTATCTCCTTTTACGCTAACGAAGAAAAACACACGGTTTTTAAACATTTTATTTTGAAATACTTTTAGACCTATGGAAGACTTGCCTAGACAGTACAGTGTTTGCATGGGGCACCCAGCTTCCCTTAGCGTCAACATGTGGCATGACCACTGTAGGGTTGCGAAACCAAGACCCTGACTGTGGACGATACTATCAACGGTCCTGCAGACTTGATTCCATGCCCTGAATATTCCCTTATGGTCATTTTTTGTGACACAGGATCCCTGCCACCTCTCCTCACTGTCTAACCTGAGACAGTTTCTCCGTCTTCTTGTTAACCGCCTGGCACCTCTCTTCTTTCCTGCTGAGCACCAGGTCTGGGCACCGGTCTGGGGCGGGTGGCACCTGGAGCTCCAGCCACGGGCCCAGGCAGCCAGCACCACGAGGGGAGCAGCCAACACAGGACTTTTTCCCTGGCCTGGCCCACCGCCCTGGTCCCCTGCTTGCTGCAGCTCTTGGCCTTGGGGACTGCCAATCCCTGGACACCCTGGCCACATCTGATCAACACAGCTGGGGGGGCACCTGGCTGGCTCAGTTGGTGGAGGGGGTGTGTGGCTCTTGATCTTGGAGTTGTGAGTTCAGGGTGCACGTTAGGTATAGAGATTGCTTTAAAAAATAAATTAAAAAAACCCATCAAACAACAACAAATCAAAATCAGAGCTGGGTCTAGAAGGCAGCAAAAAGCCCCCTTGTGATGCCAGATTCCCCAACAAACACAGATGGCTAAAGAAAAGCTCTCGTGGACTCCACCAAGATCAAAGTGCTCCTGAGGCTGGAGAACACGCAGCTAGTAGGGAGAGACGCCCCTACCCCGCCCCACCTCACCCCCGCGGGGCACCCCCACCCAGAGTTCTGCAACCAGAGGCACCCCGCTGACTCACCCCAGTGCTGCGTTGTAGAGATAAGACCAGGGTGCAGTTGCTGGCACTATTTAAGTCAGGAAGCATCTGATGGCCCAGTTACCACGGCAACCAAAGTTTGCTTTGAGAATAGCTGGTGCTCAGATCTTATCTGGACAGTGAAGAGACACAGAGATGCATGTCGCCAGGACAGTCAAGGCTCCAGATGCATTCAGATAACTCTCTTCTGCAGTTGGCCACCAGAGCTGGGCATGTGAGGGCCGGGTGATGCACACTGAAGATGGACTGGGATCTTTCTAAGATGCTCAATCTGTAAGAGAGGCTCCTCAGAGGACAGGGGCATGTGCCACATAAGTGCCACCAAAGCCAGTTGTGCTACTGTCAGCTGGTCTGCTAGTTGGGGTGGCTCACTGGTGGTGGAGGGCACAGCCAGGGGCCAGGACACGCGGGTGTTAGGGGAGCATGGGCTCTGCAGTGGGACCGCCCAAGGCTCTGGCACTGATGAGCTGTGTGACTGTGGGCAAGTGTCCTAGGCTCTCTGAGGGCATTTGGAAGAAGGTGCCAGCTCTCATCTCTCTGCCCTCACACCAAGCTTCCCAACTTCCCATGCCTTCAGAACTCTGCTTTCCAAGATGCAACTTCTGCTCCTCTTTTATTTTTTTTTATTTTTTTTAAAGATTTTATTTATTTATTCATGAGAATATACAGAGAGGAGAGAGAGAGGCAGAGACACAGGCAGAGGGAGAAGCAGGCTCCATGCAGGGAACCCGACATGGGACTCGATCCCGGGTCTCCAGGATCATGCTCTGGGCTGAAGGCAGGCGCTAAACCACTGAGCCACCCAGGCTGCCCTCTGCTCCTCTTTTAAAACCCAGCTTTGGTGTTTTCCTTGTGATGCCTTCTCGACCACTCTTAGCGTTATTAACTCATGTTAATCCTCCTTCCTCTATATTTTGTACTTGTTATTTCCCAGGTCTCCCTTTATTTTAACTTTTTAACACTATTTTCTCTCCCACTGGTCTCCCAATTCCCTGAGGGTTGGGATTATGGATCATTTGTTTGTTTATCCCCCAGATTTATCATTTTAAGTAGAATTACTCGAATATATGTGGGGTATATACTCGTTCAAACGGATTGAGTTTCTTTTCTGAAACTTTTGGTTACAAAAACTGGAAATCAGATTTTCCCCTTTGTGTGTGAATAAGAGAAAAAAATGAGGGGAATGGAATTGCTTTCAACATTTCACCTGTAAGAAAAAAAAACGTAAAAGTAGAAATATAAGGATGGCTTGCAGATCTAGTTTCTGGCTCATACAAAAGAAGGAATTTAAAAATTGAGAAGGCTGGGGTGCCTGAGTGGCTCAGTAGGTTGAGTGTCTGCCTTTGGTTCAGGTCATGATCCCAGGTCCCGGGATCAAGCCCCAGGCTGGGCTCCCTGCTCAGCGGGGAGTCTGCTTCTCCCTCTCCCTCTCTCACTCCCTCGCTTGTGCTCTCTCACTCTCTGTCAAGTAAATAAATAACATCTTTTTTAAATAGTTGAGAAGGTTGGTTTGTCTACAAGAATCTTTTACTTTGTATTTCATAGTTCAACAAGCTCACCCAAGGCCTTGGGTGAGAATGCGCTGTTAGGTACAAAGGCAGAAATAAGTTACTAAAAATCTTAGGTGGTTAATATTAACTTCCTTTGCTCGCAGGAATAAGCTATATCATCTGGAACGACTGGGTGAAACTCAGAGGCCTTTCAACTAACCTGGGAATTGGCACAATTTCTGGGAAGGGCCAGATGGTAAATATTTTAGGCTTTGCAGGACAAAGGGCCTCTGAGGCAACTACTCAACCTTCAGAATGATGTAAAACCAGAGGAGGGCTGCACATGAACAAATGAGGGCATGGCTGTGTCCAATAAAATTTTATTTACAAAAACAGGTGGACGCTGTTTTGGGCTTGCTGGCTGTAGGTTGCCGACCCCTGACCAAAACAGCCCATCGTCAGGTCCACCTGTCTCTTCTCTTAAACACATCAAGCACAGATGAGCAGAAGCCATGTCGACCAAGCTGTAAGGTTATTATGGGGTGCAGTTGTTTTTTTAAGATTTTATTTATTTATTCATGAGAGACACAGAGAGAGGCAGAGTCATAGGCAGAGGGAGAAGCAGGTTCCCTGTGGAGAGCCCGATGGAAGACTTGATCCCAGGATCCCGGGATCACAACCTGAGCCAAAGGCAGATGCTCAACCCCTGAGCCACCCAGGTGCAGTTTTTTTTTTTAATAATAAATTTAATTTTTATTGGTGTTCAATTTACCAACATACAGAATAACACCCAGTGCTCATCCCATCAAGTGCCCCCCTCAGTGCCCGTCACCCATTCACCCCCACCCCCCGCCCTCCTCCCTTTCCACCACCCCTAGTTCATTTCCCAGAGTTAGGAGTCTTTATGTTCTGTCTCCCTTTCTGATATTTCCCACACATTTCTTCTCCCTTCCCCTTTATTCCCTTTCACTATTATTTATATTCCCCAAATGAATGAGAACATACAATGTTTGTCCTTCTCCGATTGACTTATTTCACTCAGCATAATACCCTCCAGTTCCATCCACGTCCCGGGTAGAGCCCCGCTCCTGCTGCCACGGACCCTTTCCTTACCATCCGTCCCACTGTCTTCAAGATCCGAGGTCTGCTGAGCCCATAAGGGAGGCTGCTGGCTGTGCTGATCTATGGCAGTGTTGGGACAGCACCGAACTATGCAGGAAAGCCCCGTGCTGCCCCAACCAGAAGTGCTAACTTTTAATCAATGTAGGGAAATAAAATTTGCTTTCTTTATTACTCAGGGATTTTACGTGGCTTGGTGTATTAGCCAGGGTTCTCTAGAGAGCAGAACCAGTAGGATATGCAGAATGCGGTATATGTAAGAGGAGGCTTACTATGGGGACTGGCTCACACGGTCATAGGGGCTCAAAAGTCCCACAATCTTCTATCTGCAAACTGGAGACCCCGGAAAGCTGGTTGCATAACTCAGTCTGCGCCCAAAGGCCTCAGAACAAGGAGCACCGATGTCCAAGGGCAGGAGGAGATGGGGGTCCCAATGCTAATGTCTTCTGGAAACACTCTCCCAAATGCTCCCAGAAATACTGTTCTACAAGCTATCTGTGCATCCCCTAGCTCAGTGAAGTTGACGCCTAAAATTGACCATCACAAGTACTATTAAAGTAACTTTTATCAGAAGAAGATTATGGTCAAAGTTTAAAGAATTTCGTTTCGAAGAATGTATTTAAGACAAACCCTCTTACAAAACCTATTTATGCTTAACAACCTCAATGAGATAGACTAGGGTGGTCTTCGGAAACTGCCAATCCTACTCTACTCCTCTCCAGAGGCCTATGCACAGCTCACAGAGTCAATGTCCGTTTTTTCACCATGGGGTCCTGTGGGGCTAGGTTATGCCACGGCAAGAAGCAACCCCCAGCAGAACCGGCTTTTGGCAGCAAATATTTATATTTATTTATATATTTTTAAGATTTTATTTATTTATTCATGAGAGACACACAGAGAGAGGCAGAGGGAGAAGCAGGCTCCATGCAGGGAGCCGGATGTGGGGATGCGGGCCGATGCAGAGGGGAGAGCATGGCTGAATTGTAGCCACTACTTGCTCCTTGGTCAGGCACTTTTGTTCAGTAAATCACCTGTAGAACCCTACGTGTGGGGCAACGGACTCATTGGGTGAAAGTCCCACAACCCAAGAATACCCTCAGTCCTGAACAAAGAGAAATGGTCAGTCACCTTACCTACATGGGTAGCCCTGGGTACCAGGTTGGTAGCTCCTTAGACCGAGCTCAGTTGTGCAATATTTGGGTATAGCTAGCATAATGAAAAGACCATGAGGACCAGACAGACTTGGGTTTGCGTCCCACCTTTGCTACTTACTGGCTTCAAGACCTTAGGCAAGTCTGCTGCTCCTCTGAGCCTCAGCTTTGCCATCCATAAAATGGAGAAAGGTGTTATCTACCTTATGAGGTAGCTGAAGGGCTCCTTTAAGGAGCCAACATCTCTCAAGGGACCAGAAAGTGCCAGGTGTCCTCCCTGGGTGGTGGTTGATTGCATTCCACAGGACAGGTGGTCCTTCCCGGCAGGAGGACCTGTACAAACAATTCCCAGGCATCCATCCGTATGAGCAGGCTGAGACTCAAGGCCGCTAAACAAGTTAAAACACTATGAACGAAAGGGCCAACAAACTTAATATTTAACTTGACCTTTAATAGGAGTCCTCTGTTCCTTTAGCTGCTCAATTCACTGGGGAATTCTCAGGTCTTCCAGAAGAAGTTGGAATGTAGTAAGCATCTCCCCAGCTCTCTGGGACCATGCACTGGTTCTGTGCAAAAGCTACCAGAACAGGGTGGTCTCACATTGCAGAGTTGCCCTTTACGGTGGGGTTGTTCGAGCTTAAAGTTGGATGTTTTGTGTTTGATGCATCGTCTTTTTTTTTTTAATATTTTGTTTATTTATTCATGAGAGACAGAGACAGAGAGAGAGAGAGAGAGAGATAGAAATGCAGACCGAGAGAAACGGGCTCCCTACTGGGAGCCCAATGTGGGACTTGATCCCAAGACCCCAGGATCACAACCTGAGCCTAAGGCAGATGCTCACCCACTGGCCCCCCAGGAGCCCATGATGCATACTCTTTGGCCAGTGGTATCGCAAAGGTTAACTTCCATAATGAAAACGTGTTAAGGCCATGTTCGCCCTGGCTTCATTGCCCCCTCCTCCTGCCACTGCCCTCTCCCTCCTCCCTTCTCCCCTCCTGCTACACAACTTTCACAGGATGAAACAGAACTCTCACAAAGCCTAGAGTCTAAGTAAGCTTTGAGCGGCCTCTAGGTCTCCAACTCCAAGTTGTGTGTGTGGGACAGTGAGTCAGGCTCTGGCTGTCTGTGCAGTGGACCTACAAGGGAGAAGGAAACAGGTCCCCTGAGACCAGCAAGCACAGATGCTGTACTGGAGAGTCGTGCTGCTCACCCTGTCCACAGCCCCGGCCACACGGGCTACGGCACCATAGCTCACTGGGCCTGGTGTGGGTGCCTGAACCTAGCATAGCCCAACTCCAGATGGCCTGCTTCCTGCCCCTTGTGAACACCCCACAACCAGAGCTCCCCACTCCAGGTAAAACCTCACCAGGAAGTGTCTTTTTTGCACAGCAGCAGAGCTCTGCACCAGTGACCCCATCCTTATTCCTTACCCATGAGCTGGGTGAGGTAAAGGATGATGCACTGTCCGTATGAAGACCTTCCATCAATCTTCTGGTTTGTACCCCTACTTCTTGCTCCCACCTTCATTCATACCTGCTGCCCAAGTCCCCGAGCCTCGCTGTTGGAAGACTGACTCCTATCTCCTCTTCAGTCTCTGACATCACGGGCTGCAATTTCTCTTCCTGTTTCATCTGGACACCCTCTTCTCATGATGAAAAGGTGCCAACTCTGAGGATTTAAAGATTTCTTATTTCCAACTAAATACTGCAAAGGAGTTCTGTAATTCATTGATTATCCTTAATGAATAGCATCAACTCTCCCTTACATTTCTCTCCACCCGCTCAGCGGTGAAGCCGTGAAACCAAATGCAAAAGCGTGGACACTCTGCAAGAAGACAATAGTAATTCTATGACATCGCTGCCATCCAAAGGTATCAGCAATAATTGATAGCATCGTGGCTCTCTCAAGTTACTGATTCAGCATTAAAAATAGAAACATGGCTTGCCTGTGTTTCAAATGCTGTTTCATTTTTCACCTGAATATAAATATGATCTTTCTGTATATTCATAATAACCAGAACCTGCACAGTGTATCTCTCCTCACACAATCCCTGGCGATGTGTCAGGAATGGTGGACGATTATAGAGGTCCTGAGCAGAGATAGTAGATCTGGAGAGTCCCTGATGTAGGGCACTCGAGTAGGGCTTAAAAAGGGGGGGTTGAAAAAGAAGGGGGGTGGTCCTTGGGTTGTGGTAAGTAGAGTACCTGCTTCATCTCCAGATGTCAGGCTAGTCCTGTTGCCAAGGAAAACATCACTCAGGACACATGTCCTGCTGAAAGTATCAACAACTACAATTCTCTCCCAAAGTTTAATTTGCTCACTGCAAGGAAGTTATTACTTTCCAGGAGTTAAGCAGACGTCTCCCCAGCTGGATCTCATCCTCCATCCCCCTCACAGCTACCACCAGGGTCACTGCATAAAGAAGTCCTTTCGCTGGAGAAGTGTGGTTGCCAAGATGCCTCCGTAAGAGGGATTAGGCCTCATTTCCTATGTCCCAATATTCCTGGGATTTTGTTAACCCCTTGGGACAGAGAGAGTCTTGTTTATTTCTAGAGATGATCTTAGGAGGCATTAGTCATGTGGGAAAACTTAGGTTGTTTGCTTACTATGGGAAACTACTAATAAAATCAATCTGGGTTTTTAGCATATTTGTTGGAAGCCAGGTCTCCAAAGCTGGATTCTTAAACGGAGTCTCAGAGTGGCAAGAACAGTCTTTGGCTTTACTGTCATTGGAGCCAAGCAAGCTAGACAAGTCTGGGGAAAAAGATTGGGATCTAGAGCGGTCAGAAACATCAATTGCCCTGGGAGGTGAACACAGGGAGCTCTGAATATAGTTTAACTGAGTCACATGACTAGACTCTACTTGGGCAGAAGTAAAACATGTTTTCCTTTAAATGATTAAACTTAGTTGAACTTAGTTCAAGAAAAATGTCTTTCCCCACTGAATGTTTCTCTTTCCAGGCTTAAAGAGTTTCAAGATGAGATTTGTTTTTTTAAACAGAAAACTTCTATCAATAGCTTCCAAATTAGACACATCTGTAGACTTACAGCACCCAGATGACTTCAGATAATGTATTTGGCCCATCTCCTGCATCTGGATGGTTAAGGCTGTATGTCAAAAAAAGAAGAAAAAAGGTGGTGGTGGGGGGAATGTTAGAAAGATTTCCTTGGTCTGTTGATAATAAAATAAATGAAAATGAACTTGAGTCCCATGTTTATTCCATCTTCTCTGGCATAAAGCTTTTAATCCCTACTCGTGGAGCGATAAAACAGTAACATTTCAAGTCCATGGTTGGAAAAGGTTAGCCAACATTTCACCTCACCAACTGTTCTGCAACTCGGTCAAGATTCTGCTTGACGCCAAGTCGAGATGGGTGAGTGAGACTCACGATGTTGGCATTTGTCTTACTTTGGAACCAGAGTTGGGTTTTTAAGTAAGCGGAAAAGAGGAACAAATCAAGTCTAAACAATACAGGCAAGACCAACAATAACATCGCTGGGGTTGAAGCAGACTGTTTCTAGGAGCCTTCTGCCCTTATTTTGGGGTTAGTTCATTTAAAATAAACATTTTTCTTTTCTTTACTAGCCAATGACCAAAATCTAGAATTATGATTAGTATCTATTCGGTCTTTCCTTTGCTTTTTTTCCTGGGTGGGGGGATGCATTCTCTGTTCCCTCTTTTATAATTTTTCTTTCCTAACAGTGATTGCTTTTTACTATGAGGGTTTTGGATAAGGCTCAGGGCTGGGGCGCTGGTCTCGGATGGGGCAGGAGCATGGACGGACATGAGGGCCACCCCGCCTGCTGCTCGCCAGCCAGCCCATAGACTGGAGGGACTGTCCCCCGGGCGGGTGGCCCCTTCCCTCCTCCAGCGGAGGGAGAGGGTGGCAATTTGAGGCCTAGGGGCCACTAGGGTGCAAAATCCCACCCATTATCTTACTCAATCCTCAGGCGCTGGCCCCTTCTGAGGAATGGGAGGCTTGGCAAGGCGACGTCGCCCACCACCCACCCAGGTCTGGTGGGGCAAGGCTGTGATGTCACCTCTCTACTCTCATCACGTCCTCACGCTGTTTTCCCTAAATGAACCAAAAGCCCGGCTGAGTTTGTCCCAAGGCCTGTCGGGCCCGGGGCTTCCAGTCCCAGGCAGCGGGGACCTGGCTGACCTGAGGGTCGCAGAGCCAGAGCCTGGCAGGTGGACCTGCAAGGGGGTTCCCACCCCAGGCGGGTAGGAGGAGAGCGGGAAGGAGACTGAGGAGGAGGGGGCACTCCGCCCTGGTGTCCCCGACCCCCCACCCCAGTGCCCCGCACCGGGCTCCAGCTCCCAGCACAACGGCTCACAGGCCCTGGCGTGCCCTGCCTCCCGGCCTCCCCTGGCCCTGGCCCTCGCCCGGGGTCTGGATCCCTCACCCCCGACCCGGATCCGCGCCACCCTCCAAGCCCGGGTCTGCACCCCATTTCCCCGGGCGGCTCCTCTCTCCTGTGCCCTCGCTCTCTGCGCCCTACACTACCCCTCCAGGGTCTGCACCCAAAACCCCGGCTGCGCCCCCTTCCGTGTCTCCGCCCCCGGATCCCATCCCTGCTCGAGCCCTTACACTCCAGGCCCGGAGCCGCACCCCTGCATCTCATTAGCCCCCCCCCCCCCCCCCCGCCCCGCTAAACACAGATCTGCATCCCCATCCCCTGGTCGCCCGCCCATCCCTCTAGCGCCTTCACTCCCACGCCCCCAGGCCCGGACCGTACCCCAACCCCTTGCGGTGCCCTCTCCCGCGTCCCCGCCCCCAGATCCCTTCCCCCCATCCCCGGCCAGGACCGCGCCCCCGCCTTGACCGCATCCCCGCCCCCAGATCCCGTCCCCCCATCCCGTCCCCCCATCCCGTCCCCCCATCCCCGCCCCGGCCGCGCCCCCGACCGCGCCCCCGCCTTGACCGCATCCCCGCCCCCAGATCCCGTCCCCCCCGCCCCCATCCACCGCAGGACCGCACCCCCCCGCGTCCCCGCCCCCAGATCCCGTCCCCCCATCCCGTCCCCCCATCCCGTCCCCCCATCCCGTCCCCCCATCCCCGCCCCGGCCGCGCCCCCTCCCGCGTCCCCGCCCCGGCCGCGCTCCCGCCCCGGGGCCGCGCTGGGGCGGCGAGACCGGCTGCTGGGCCGGCGGCGGGGGCGCCATGGGCAGCGGCAGCAGCCGGAGCGGCCGGGCCCTGAGGCGGCTGCGCGGCCCCGACAGTCGGCGGGCGGGACCCGGCGGGGCGGCCCCGGAGGGCGGGACGCGGCCTCTGGCCTCGGCGACGGCGGCGGCCGCCCGGGAGGAGGCTCGGGAGGCGGAGGCGGCTGAGCGCGCGCCGGACCCCGACCCCGACCCCGGCCCCGGCCCCGGCCCCGGCCCCGGCCCCGCGGCGCCCCCCGACGGCGGGGACGAGACCCTGCGCCTGCTGGACCAGCTGCTGGCCGAGTCGGCGGCCTGGGGCCCGGGGGAGCTGGCCCCGCGGGGCCCGGAGCCGCCCCGACCCGCAGCCGGCGCCGGGAGCCCGGTGAGTGTGGGAGCCCGCGGCGCTGTTGGGGCCGCGCCTGCCCCCGCCCCAGCCCCTGCCCCCCGCCCCAGCCCCAGGTCCCAGCCCCCAGCCCCCAGCCCCTGCTCCCTGACCCCAGCCCCTGCCCCAGCCCCAGGTCCCAGCGCCCAGCCCCCAGCCCCAGCCCCAGCCTTGCGCTCCCTCCCCCTCCTCCTCCCCCCTCCCCCGCCCCCAGGCTCCCCTCTGTCCCCAGGGTCACCCACCGCCTCTGTGCCTCCGAGTGCCTCCGAGCTCTGCGGCCCGCGCGGCCTCTCCTTCCCTAACCCCGCCCCGGATTCCCCCCCCCCCCGCCCCCGGCTGCGGCTTCTGGGTGCGGGTCTCCCTGCGTCCAGTGTGGGGTGCGGGTGCTGGGAGCAGCCTGCAAGAGCAGGGACGCGCATCCCTTGGCAGAAACGCGTCCCCCGGGCTGTCCTCTGGCCAGAGCTCCGCCTCTCCTTCGGCTCTGGAAGCCCAGCGCCGGGCCCCTCCAGCCGCGGGGCGCGGGCGGGGGTGCTGCTGCCCGTCCTCTCCTGCGAGGCTGCTAAGTGGTGGCACCGGTAGCCACGCAGCGGTTCACAAATGCCCTGCGTGTCAGACACATCGAGAGCCTTGCCTGGCCAGCCAGGCCATTCACATGCTACCGGCTATTTTTAAGATGCTGTGGAATCTGTTTTTGGCTTCGGGATCCTCTCTTCCAGAACACTTGTAATAACAGCCTCGTTGTTCTACAAAAACAATAAAAACGAGCCCTCCGCTTTGGCAACAGTCTTCACTCGGCGGCGGAGCAGCAGGAACAAGATCTTTACCCTCGGCTCCTGGGCTTCAGGACGGTGCCAAAGGCGGCACCCCCTTCCCTGCAGCCCCGCAGGCTTTGCTTAACCGCCGGGACCGGGGAAGTGTCTTCTGGGGCAGCCACGGAGCAGAGAATCCTGCAGAGCCACTATCCCCTCCCGCCGCCCCCCTCCTGTCCCCCCCTACCCTCCCGAAGTGAGCGGCAGCAAGCAGGGCTAAATTCGTTCACGGGATTCCTTCGAGACTACGTCACCATTCGGTTATATAACACTAGAAATGGATAAACAGTAGAGAAATTTGGGGGAAATTCTGAGCTTGGAAGCGAACGTCTAGTGTCCAAGTTTCAAGCGCCTTGGAAACTTTAGAAGTGAAAACGAGAAGAAAAGAAAAAAATGGATTTCCCCCTGATATACTGAGCATCAGTGGCTCCCCGGGTGCAGGGCTGCTGGACTCCCTCTTTCCGCTATGTCTGTGTGCCCGGCACCCCTCTAGGCGCTAAAGCGAACACAGATGGCCCCGATCCTTGCCCAGAGAAAGCCAGTCTCTTGGGTGGGGGGTGGGGAGACCCGCAGACAAAAGGCAGAGCACAGCGTGGTGAGAGGTGCACCTGCACCTGCACAGCGAGTCCAAGGGGGAGTGACGGATCCCCTGGAGAAGTCAGGGTGGACTCCTGAAAGACAGCACTTGACCAAATCTGGAAGGATCTGTGGCCTTAGGCAGGCAAACGAGCAGAGATGAGCATTTGTGCAGATAACCCCGGGTGCCTGTGCATGTGCGTGTCAAAGGTGATAGGGTGGGGCCTGCGGTGCACAGGGTGTGGGTGGGGGGGTGAAGAGGCCCTGGAGGGCACGCGTCATGCCACCCTAGGTCGTGCAAGGGGTTCCCCACATTAAGGAGTTCAGACCTCCCCCTAAGAGCTGTGGCTATCCCTGAAGGGCTAGGGGGAGCGGTGCTTTGTGTTCTAGGAAGCTGACACGCGGGGCTGTGGGGGGATGGACGGGGCCAAGCCTGAGGCCAGCATGGCCAGCTGGGGGCTGCCCCGGTGGTCTGGGTGAGCAGGCCCCGGGAGAAGCAGGACAGTCGGAGGGCCGAGGAGATGGAGATAGGAGGGAAAATCGGCCAGCCGTGGCTGATCGTACGGATGTGGACTGTATGTATCCTCTGTGCCATAAATATTTCTTGAGTGAATCCTAGCATCTTAGATTATTAGGTCTGTATAAAAGCTCCTGGAGTCCAATTTTTTCCGGGTGTGGGGAGACAAAGCGGGAAGGTCAGGGCTCCTAATCTCTTGATTGTAAAGGTCGCGGAAGGTTAACTGTATATTCAAGTGTGAGATGTAGGCTTTTTGCTAGAGTATGTCCTTTGATAGATTGTCTCGGCAATTGTACCTCTTACAAGACTGAGTTAACAAGACGTCATTGAGCTAGGGAAAACTTGGTATTTAGATGGATCAATATTGATCCAACATTTAATGTGCACTTGGGTCTTAAACATGCATTAACTCTTTTCATCTTTAATATTATTATCGCCCGGGATCCCTGGGTGGCGCAGTGGTTTGGCGCCTGCCTTTGGCCCAGGGCGCGATCCTGGAGACCCGGGATCAAATCCCACGTCAGGCTCCCGGTGCATGGAGCCTGCTTCTCCCTCTGCCTGTGTCTCTGCCTCTCTCTCTCTGTGTGACTATCATAAATAAATAAAAAAATTTTAAAAAATATTATTATCGCCCATTTTGACAGATGGGAAGGACAGAACACAGAGAGGTTAAGGCACAGAGAGGTCAAGAACTTCACTAGAGGGATCCCTGGGTGGCGCAGTGGTTTGGTGCCTGCCTTTGGCCCAGGGCGCGATCCTGGAGACCCGGGATCGAGTCCCACATCGGGGTCCCGGTGCGTGGAGCCTGCTTCTCCCTCTGCCTGTGTCTCTGCGCCTCTCTCTCTCTGTGACTATCATAAATAAATAAAAATTTAAAAAAAATTAAAAAAAGAAAAGAACTTCACTAGAGCCACACAGTTATGGTGGAGCAGAGGTCAGCCTCTGGATGGCCAGGCTCCTATACCTTATCAAAGTGGCCCCGACAGCTGAGACACTTGCTACTGGCCTTGGTCCACGGTCTTACCCCTGTCGCGTTTTAACCATTGTCGGTCTACAGTGCAGCCAAGCAAGCTTCTCTGAGTCCCCCGGCCTCGTGGACGCCTCTCCGAGCTGCCCTTGGAGGGTAGACTCACATAACCACGCCCGCTAACTCTGTGTTTAAAGGAAGAGCAGGGCCCTCCGAGGTCGGGCCTGGGAGATGCTCTTTCCTGGCCCGAAGAATCATCTGTTCAGCCAATGGGCTTCGTGGCAATTATTTTAGTTGATCAAGTGCTCGTTTTTTGTCTTATTTCTTAACAATTGGTTGTTTTCCTGACACAGTTAAGGGTGCTGGATCAGAGTGAGGTATTGCCGTATCCTAAAACTGGAATTTTGCAAATTAAGTCTTAAGAAGTATTATTTATTTATTTATTTATTTATTTATTTATTTATTTATTTATTTATGACAGGGAGAGCTGGAGGGGGTGGGGTGGGAAGGGGCAGAGAGAGAGAGAACCTTAAACTCACTCCATGCCCAGAGCCTGACGTGGGGCTCTATCTCATGACCCTGAGATCATGACCAGAGCAGAAACCAAGAGTCAGACACTTAACCGACTGAGCTACCCAGGCACCCCTTTTAAGAGGTGTTTAAAGCAATCATATACATCTCTATATATGATCGATCGATCGATCGCTCTATCTAGGTGTATGTGAGAAATGTGTATCTACATGTATGTAGGGGCTACTTCAGTGGCCCCAGTGACATTGTGTTGATATCACTGAAATTATAATATTCTGTTTTGAATTTTTATACTTAAACTATCTCATAAATGTTTTTTTATATTGCTGCATGATATTCATAATTATTTTAATAAGTGCAAAATATCCATCAAATTCATGTACTTCAGTTCTCTAAACCGTGTCCTCTTGCTGTCCTGGATTAATTCCCAACCCTGTGCCCGTGCGGTGTGAGGTGTGAGGAGAAGAATTCCTTTCTTAAAGTCAGTGGAACTTGAAAGTCAACAGCATTTTAGTGGGACATTGAAACTGAAAACTATTTAGGATGGGAAAATCATGTGAGAAAAGCTAATGGTTTGGGTTTGGGTTTTATTGAGCTATTTAATCAAATTATAGTTTTTTAAAAAATGTAGCAGTACCTCTGCCACTTAGTGCTCTATTAATTGAGAAAATGTACTGTCTATTGATCCATGCATTCAGCGTGTATTTTAAAATATATTTTTTAAAGACTTTATTTATTTGAGAGAGAGAGAGAGTACGAGTGGGGTGAAGGGCAGAAGGAGAAGCAGGCTCCCCGCTGATCAGAGAGCTCGATGCAGGACTCATCCCAGGACCCCAGGATCATGACCTGAGCCAAAGGCAGGAGCTTAACCTACGGAGCCACCCAGGCGCCCCCATTCAGGTATATTTTAGAGCGTCCGCACGCGTCAGGTACAGTTCTCGGTGCTGGTTATACATCAGTGAACCAGGTAGACAAAACCTCTGCTACCATTCTGATTGTATAAAGTCCAGCAGTGAACAAACTAAAGTATAAAGATCAATAAAGCAGGGCCACCTGGATGGTTAAGTGTCCGACTCTTGATTTCCAGTCAGGTCATGATCTCAGGGTCGTGAGATCGAGCCCCTCATCGGGCTCCCCGCTCAGCTTGGGGTCTGCTTGGGATTCTCTCCCTCCCTCTCCCGCTGCCCCTCCCTCACCACTCTCTCTCTCTCTAATAAAAAAATATCTTAAAAAAAATAAGTCAGCAGGGGCTGGGGAGAACAGGAGTGCATCTAGATTGTCATTTGTAATAGAGAAAGTGTCACTGAGGAGGTGGCACTTGGCAAAGCCGTGAAGGAGGCGAGGGCCGCGGTGCTTCTGTGGGAACCGGTGCCGCAAGCCGAGGGGTGGTCCAGCCAGCAGTCCTTGGGGGTGGGGGGGGACCTGGAGGGTCTGCTCAAAGAGCAGTGGGTCGGGCAGGGTGGCCGGAGTGGAGAGGGCGCGGTCAGGGCAGTGGCAGACGGGGTGGTGGCCCGGATGGTGGCCGGCGTTTGAGCAGAGCACAGCGGTCCTTTGGCCACCGTTAGGCCTTTGCCTTTCACGTTGAAGGAGGTGGGAAGCGCTGGAGGGTTTTGAACAGAGGACGACCCGATTTGTGCTGAGGCTCCCCCCCCCCCCCGCGGCCGCCGCTGGAGACACAGCCGAGGGGCGGCAGGGCCACAGCTGGGATCCCTGAGCACGGAGGGCGGTGTGGGCGCCGGGGCCAGTGGCTGGCCTGTGGCCGCAGACCAGAGACAGAGGCAACCAGGTCCCCAGGGGATTGGCTGCAGGATTGTGAGACGGGAAGGGCTCAAGGACGACCCCAGAGTTTTCGGCTTGGGCAGCTGGGAGCATGTCCTTGCTGTTGATCCGCCGATGTGGAAGCGTGGGGTGTTCATGAGAAATGTGGCTTTGAGTGTGTCTGCCAGACACCCGCTCGGAGAGGCAAGTGAAGAGGTCTTTGCAGGAGGCTGGCGCTCGCGGCAGACGGTGGGTTTGGGGCTGCGAGTGTGGGAGCTGCAGGTCGGAGCCGAGCGCGAACAACCACGCGAGCCAACCCCCGCCTGGGCCTTGCCTTGCTGCCGGGCGCTGGTCTGGGTGCGGGTGGGTGTGCGCTCGCCAGGAGCCGCCGAGCCGGGCCTTGGTGTTCAGGCTGCGAGCCATGGGGGGGCCCCGCGGGGACCACCAGTGGAGGGGGGAGAAAACCAAGGGTGGCACGTCTGGAAGCCGAGGGAGGAAGGCGTCTCCAGCGCCCAGCCAGCAAGGCAAGGCCCAGCAAGGCCCCGCCGCCCCGGCCGCGGGTTCAGGCCCCGGCCCCCCTCCCGGCCCGGTGCCCGCGGCCCGGGGGCCTCTCGGCGTGAGGCCCGGTCGCTGGTCCGAAGGCGCCCGAGGCCCGGGACGCGCACGTCTCCTTTCTCGGAGGCTTGGGGCTCGCCCCGGGTCACCTCCTCCGTGCCGGGGCTCAGGGCGCCGGGTGGGGCGACGCCAGGGCGTCCGGCCACGTCCTCAGGGCTCGTCACCGTGACAGCGTTTGGGGACGTGCGACACAGGGCGCGACACGGCACAGGCGGTTTACCGTCCCGTCCCCCGAACCCCACCCCTCCGGCTCCTCCAGGGCGGCCCGGCCGGTGCGCTCAGAGCCACGGGCTTCTTTTGGGAAAAGTCCGGTTGTCATTATATGAACGCGGATGGGGGTCCCCGCAGAGCCCGCCGGGCCCCCGGGGCGGTGCAGTGGGCCGTGTGCGGGCGGGCGCGCCCCCTGGCGGTGGAAGGGGGGCTGTGTGCGGGCGGGCGCGCCCCCTGGTGGCGGGAGGCGGGAGGCAGGAGCTAGGTGAGGGCAGGAGCGTCCCCTGGTGGCGGGAGGGGAGCTGGGTGCAGGCGGGTGCGCCCCCCGGCGGTGGGAGGGGGGCTGGGTGCGTGCGGGCGCGCCCCCTGGCGGCGGGAGGGGGGCTGGGTGCGGGCGGGCGCGCCCCCTGGTGGCGGGAGTGGGGCTGGGTGCAGGCGGGCACGCCCCCTGGCAGCGGGAGGGGGGAGCTGGGTGCGGGCGGGCGCGCCCCCGGTGGTGGGAGGGGGGCTGGGTGCGGGAGGGTGCACCCCTGGTGGCGGGAAGCGGGAGGCGGGAGGCAGGAGCTAGGTGCGAGCAGGAGCGTCCCCTGGCGGCGGAAGGGGAGCTGGGTGAGGGCGGGCGCGCCCCCTGGCGGCGGGACGGGAGCTGGGTGCGGGCGGGCGCGCCCCCTGGCGGTGGGAGGGGGCCTGGGTGCGGGCGGGCGCGCCCCCTGGTGGCGGGAGGCGGGAGGCGGGAGGCGGGAGGCAGGAGCTAGGTGCGGGCAGGAGCGTCCCCTGGCGGCGGAAGGGGAGCTGGGTGAGGGCGGGCGCGCCCCCTGGCGGCGGGACGGGAGCTGGGTGCGGGCGGGTGCGCCCCCTGGTGGCGGGAGGCAGGAGCTAGGTGCGGGCAGGAGCGCCCCCTGGCGGCGGGAGGGGGGAGCTGGGTGCGGGCGGGCGCGCCCCCTGGCGGCGGGAGGGCGGAGCGCGGGGCCGGAACGCTGAGCATCGCTGAGGCTGAGGGGCCAGGCACCAGGCGTCCCGGCCCTGCTCTCTCCACTGTAGGGGTTCAAATGTCCATAATGAAACACAGAAAGCCCAACCAACCGAACCAACCTGGGCTTCAAAGAAGGATAATTCTCTGACAGTGAAGAAGGGGGAAATTTTCCAAGGCTGTGGAATAATGACCCAGCGATAAAAGGGAGTAAACTACCGGGATGCCTGGCGGGCTCAGTCGGTGGAGAGTCCAACTCTTGATCCCGGGGTCCTGAGTTCGAGTCCCATATTGGGCACAGTAAACTATTTTTTAAAAGGTTTTATTTATTTATTTCATGAGAAACACAGAGAGAGAGGCCGAGACATAGGCAGAGGGAGACGCGGGCTCCCCAGGAGAGCCAGATGCAGGACTCGGTCCCAGGACCCCGGGATCACGACCTGAGCCCAAGGCAGATGCTCAACCACTGAGCCACCCAGATGCCCCGGACACAGTGAACTATTGATGCACAGTGTGGGTAGATCTCAGAATCGTTACACTGAGTGAAAGAAGCCCGGGAAGGGGTACACACTGTAGGATTCGCGTGTCGTGGCTTCCAGAGGGGAGAGTGCACGCAAATCTGCAGTGACCCCAGGCAGATCCATGGTTGCCTGGAGTCAGGAGGGCGGCGAGGGAAGGAGGAAGGGCCCCGGCGCTGAGGAACGTGTTCAGTGTGCTGGCCACGGTGATGGTTTCACAGGTGCACACATACGTGCTCGCCCAGCGAACCGAGTATTTACACATCTGTGGCTTGTTCTGGGTCAGTTCTCTGCATCATCCGTGTGTGTACGTGTCTATAAAACTGGTCAACGTGAGCAGTTAAAGGGCAGGAGGGCTCTAGACAGAAGAAGCAGGACAGACACATTTTGGCAAATAAAAAATGCAGTGGATTTTCTAGAAATTAACCATTGATACTCACTTTTTCCCAAAAAACCCCAGTTGTAAGAGCGTGAGGAGACCGTAAAGATTGTCTGATTCACTTCCTCCCCCTTCCTGCTTCCCCTTCAGCTCTGGTGTGTTCCTCAAAGCCCGCGTGGGTTCCCCGTGACACCTGCCGCACCCACCCAACACGCTCACGCGCTCCCCGAGCTCGCCAGTTCCCACGCTGGCCCCACCCCGCACCGCGGCCCCAGGGTCCCCTGTCTGTGTGGCGCACAGGTGGCAGGCCGCCAGCAGGCAGGTGGGGGGGCGCTTGTGTCTGCCCTGGGCCTGGAGCCACAGCAGGGGCTGCTGTGCTTCTGGGAGGGCCTCTAACACATTCCACAGCTGAGAAAGTCAAGGTAAAGGCGGAGT